GGAACAGAATTCACTCAGCAACTGTCTCACTTAGCAGCAGAAATGTTGGGCTCAAATGTGGTCATACGTCAAGGACTACCTATGCTAATAGAAGTGGTTGACAAAGGATGAAAGAAGTTGTTGTAAAGGTCTCTTACAGAAATGTAGTCACCGAACCGGTAGTAACACCGGTTGAATTCCACCCCTGCCCATGGCCACGTGCTCAAAATTCAGACCCTTGGCAACTGACTCATATTTACAATGGTTGTGGTGTGCCTGGGTGTGTATGTGTCACACAATCCCCTTTTGTGACTTTCTGATGAGCAAAGTCAATGGGGAAGCCAGATTCCTTTGACAACGGTGTTATTCAGTTATCCTCTGCAGGGATTCCCTTAATGACCGTGACAAGAAATGTAATAAAATGGGAGCAAGGGAGAAAGGAAGGGGTGAGAAGTCTCAATGATGGGAAGCAAGATTTGAAGAAACAAAATTTATTTATAGACAATGGGTAAATTTAATTGAAAAAGGGATTCTGTAAGGTACATAAGATTGTGTTATTATAGGCATTTATAGAATAAAATGTTTAAGATATAAATATATAAATAAGTATTAATAGGTACGATTAAAAATTTTCTTTTTCTCTTTATATAATATATTGTGTGACTTTAGGATGTGCTAAACAGAATCCCAATACAAGTTATGTGTGATATTAAGTATTATCAGGTTAGGGGAAAGAGTTAAAGGCGTCATACTCTAATTAGTGTACAGGAGAGGTTTTGTTTAAAGAAAAATGAATGGATAGTTGAGAACAGACAAAGAATGTTAAGTATTATGACTTGAACTGAGATGAGTAGAATAAAATTAAGAGAGTTAAAAAAAGGAAGAAGCTATATAGAAAATGGAAAACGGTAATAAGATATGGAATGATATATAAAAGGAACATGATTTTTGAAGAGGTGTCTGTATGATGAGTTTTAACCCGGGATCAAGCAACTTTCAGAAAAGATGTTTATGTTTTTATGTTTTATGTCTTGTTTTTTTTTTTTTATTGGAAGAGAATAATGAAAATGTATAAGACAGATGGATATAAAAAATGTATACAATCTAAAGTTAAAGATATAATTTGAATAAATAGAAGGAAAAGAAGTAATAAAGAGAAGTTTGGGATAAGATATGAAGATGAACAGATAAGGTAAATATATATATCAAATTGTGCTTGTTTGGAAATGTGATAACTTGGAATAATTCTGTCTTTAAATAAGTTGTTGTATTGGCTTTTTTTAAAAAAAATTCCTATGTCATTATATTTTATGTTTTGTTTGTCTGTGTATTGTTTTGGAAAATCAATAAAATTTGTTCAAAAAAAAAAAAGAAATGTAATAAAATGGGCCAAAACCCACTCAACAAATGTCTGGCTTTGCATTTTGGGCTCAATTGGGGTCATAACTCATGGACTACCTGTAATGATAATAATAATAACTTGTTTTCACTGGGGTTTTTTTGCTTTATTTTGGTGACTTAGGTCTTAAATATAATCCTCTGTTCTATGGAGGATCCAGAATATTGCCTCCTTGGCCCAGCGCTCGCTGTGATATCAGTTGTATCAGAAGCAATTATCATTAATTCACATTAACTAGATGCCTCTCCTCTAAGCTAGAGTCAATACTCTGGGAGCAAAATCTGCTTTATAGCAGACATCTGGATGCTTGTTCCTTAATTAAGCAATTAACTCATTCACTCTATACTTTATCTCTTCACTTTAACTGTGAAAACATTCACAGTTCCCTTCCCTATGAAATTCCTATTAACAGATAACAGATAATCAGAGTTGGAAGGGACCTTGTAGGTCATCTAGTCCAACCTCTTGCCCAAGCGGGAGACTCCACACCATTTCTGACCAATGACAGTCCAATCTTCTTGAAAGTCTCAAGTAATGGCACTCCCACAACTTCCAAGGGCAACTTCTGTTCCATTGGTCGATTTTTCTTACTGTCAGAAAGTTTCTCCTTATTTCCAGGTTGAATCTCTCCTTGCTCAGTTTCCATCCATTGTTCCTTGTCTGGCCTATAGGCGCTTTAGAAAATAGCTTGACCCCTTCCACCTCTCTATGGCAGCCCCTCAAATATTGGAAGACTGCTATCATGTCTCCCCTGGTCCTTCTCTTCCCTAGACTAGCCAGGCCCAGTTCCTGCAGCCATTCTTCGTATGTTTTAGCCTCCAGTCCCCTAATCATCCTGGTTGCTCTTCTTTTTAGGCATTGTATATTACATCTCCGTCAAGGAAGTTCGATCAAGAAAAAGAGCCCTGGTGCAGAAAAATGAAACCTACACAGGTAGTCCTTGACTTACAACATTTCACTGAGTGACTGTTCAAAGTTACAACAGTGGCAGTGGAAAAAAATTGACCGATGACTGTTTTTCACACTTAGAACGATTGCAGCATCTCCATGGTTACATGACCAGAATACTTGGCAACTGGCTCATATTGAGGACTATTTTTCTCAGAGGTGGTATTCAGCAGGTTCTGACCAGTTCTGGAGAACCAATAGCGGAAATTTTAAGTAGTTTGGAGAATATCTCCTCTGACTGGCCCCGCCCCCATCTATTCTCTGCCTCCCAAGTCCCAGCTGATTGGCTGGCTCTTCTTTGGTTGCCCTGCATAGGATGTCAACTCATAAAACATTCCTATTCCTGTTTTAGGAGTTGCCATAAAAAAGGACGGGGAGGAGGGAAATCTGGAAGAGCAGTGCAGCAGTTTGGAGGGGAGAGTACATTCCAACTCTTATCTTTAAAAGATTGTAACTGAAATACCAGAGTTTTTGCCCGGGAATATTTTTAATTGGAGAACATGAATGATGACACCCAGCCCATGAATGTGCTCAATTGGAGAATCTGATTTATGACACACCCAGGGGGAGGGGGGAAACAGGGTCACAGGTGACTGTAATTTACATATGTCAGAGTTGGCTTCCTACAGGGCAGTGCCAGTATGTCGCCTCTAATAGATCCTTCGCAGTTTTTTGAAGTTTGGCTCGAGAATCATGATTTAATTAGAGTGATTTCTGGAATCCTGACACAGGAGAACGGAGCTGGAAAGCAGGTTAGTGGGGTGGGGAGGGAGTGGAGATTTTACAGTATCCTTCCCCTGCCACGCTCACCAAGCCACGCCCACAGACCTGCGTCCCTGAAAAGGTGACTTATGACCATTTTTCTCACTTACGACCGTTGCAGCATCCCCGTGGCCACATAGCCAAAATTCAGATACTTGGCAATGGATTCATATTTATGATGGTTGCCGTATCCCAGGGGGCCTCACGCAATCCCCTTTTACGACCTTCTGATGAGCAAAGTCAATGGGGGAAGCCAGATTCACTTCACAAACCGGGTTACTAACTTCACATTGGCAGCGATTCGGTTAATCACGATGGCAGAAAAGGCCGTAAAATGGGTGAAAACTCACTTAAGAAATGTCTCATTTTAGCAGCGGGAATTTTGGGCTCTCCTGTGGTCGTAAGTCGAGGACTACCAAGAAAGAAGGTAAAATCCAAGTGCTGTTTTTCCGAGCTTAATCCGTAAGGACACCGTGGCTTTATCAAAGCATTTCTCCTTCTGAAAAAATAAATTTGAGGTGGGGAAGAGGGCCCAAGCTTAACTCCCGACATAGGATATGATGTATGCATGTGAAGGATCAGATGATGGGATGTATGTACAGAGGAGGCCTTGGGGGTCAGAGGAAGGGTCATATGTGGAGATAGGACCCAGGTATGGATGGAATGGAAACGAGAGTGAGGAATATAAAACATTTTCTCTTGTCTTCATTTCTTTGCCTTAAGCAGCCTTGTCTTCCTGTCTTCTCTCTCTCTACAGAAGGAAGGGGGGCGGGTCACAAGGATTGAGGGGTGCTGCCTCAGGAAAAGATTTAAAACTGTTTTTATTTTTCTCTGTGGAAAGAGAGGGGTCGCAGGGAATGGGGGAGCTACCTTGAGCTGTTCTGCGATAGGAAAGGGGTTGGAACCACACATTCTTAGCGAGGCAGAAGTTAACACCTTAAACCCCTAGCCAGGATATTAGGGACAAGAATAGCTTGCTTATAAGAAAAACTCCAAAAACCACATAGCTGGCACATGAAACTTGGACACTTTGCAAGATACCCATGACCTGGGGTGAAACACAAGTGATGCAACATTTAGCTATGTAGGTGGGCTGAGATCCAATTAATCAATATTATCTGTTATGCATGCATTATTAGGGGAAGGGCAAAGGGATGAATGTGGCCACCCCTTGACTATAAAAATTGTTCTAAGATTGTAATCGAGAGCCCTTTTGAGCCAGGGTCCTTATATCTTGGTACCAAAATAAAAGCCTAATTTTGTACCACATCTTGCGTCTGGCTGACTTATCGGCTTCAACACCAAGCAAGAGCCCAGTTTGGGGGACAACACCTGCAGGCTGATTTCCAAAAAGACAGCAACAACCTCATTTTCTGAGTATGGTTTGCTCTTTAGTAAAATTTATATTCCTCTTTCTGTGAAGACTTGGGGGTATGTATGTAGCCTTTCCTGCATCTTTAAAAAATAAATAAATGCAGGTAGTCCTCGAATTACAACTGTTCATTGACTGACCCTTCAAAGTTACAACAGCACTGAAAAAAAATGACCTATGGCCATTTTTTTCCCACACTTACGACCATTGTAGCACCCCGCCCCCCCGGGTCATGTGATTAAAATTCAGGCGCTTGGCAACTGACCCATATTTATGACGGTTGCAGTGTCCCTGGCAGTGGTGGGATTCAAATAATTTGACAACCGGTTCTCTGCCCTAATGATTTCTTCCAACGACCAGTTCGCCAAACTGCTCAGAAAGTTAACAACCGGTTCTCGCGAACTGGTGCGAACTGGCTGAATTCCCACCTCTGCTCCTGGGGTCATGCAATCACTTATTGACAAGCAAAGTTAAAGGGGGAAACCAGATTTGTTTAACCACCGAGTCAGGAATTGAACAACTGCAGTGATTCACTTAACAATGGTGACAAAATAGGTCATCAAATGGGGCAAAATTCACTGCACAAATGTCTCTCTCGGCAACAGAAAATTTGGGCTCCGTTGTGCTCATAAGTCAAGGATTGCCTATACCTAAAACCACAACCCTATTCTTTCTTACAAAAATGAAATCTTGCTCACGCTTCGCCTCCTCCCTACATTGTCAAGGTAACTAGGACAAGTGATCTTAATCTCCTTGCTACACTGAGAAACCCAATGAGAACAGTAAGAGAATTGTAGGAGATGAACAGGCTGAGACCGAGGGAGGAGTCAAGCGTGCCATAAGTCACAAGTCCCTGTGTGCCTGCAAGAGATCTAAGCCCAACCCACCTCGAATGCCTTCTTATCTCCCACTCATTTCCCTTGACAGCCAGTTGTTCAGATTCCTGTAGACAGTTTAACTTTGCCATAAATATTTATACTTGTTTGAATTGTCTGAATCTCCTGATTGCCCTGGTGGTTGGCAAGAGGCACTCAAGCTTGGCCAACGTCGACTCCATAGATGGGAAAGCTTTCTGGAGAACCTCAACAGGCGACTTCTATGCTGGATCAAGATGACAAAACATGGAGACATAACTCACAAAAAGCCAGAGGCCAAGGCAGGAACATCACCTCACTGTTAACCATGGACGCATATTCATTCCAATGGACAGCAATCAGCTAAACATGTTCATGCGGCGGTGAAGTTGGAAGTCATGTCTGAAAGCAGGACAGACCCCTTTCACAAGTTCTGTTTCCTGTCTTGCTGGAACCTTTTTTTCCCCCCTTCCTTTCTTTTCTTCTTGAGAATCCCGATGTCTCAATAGGTGGTTTCTCTGGTGACCTGGCTAGAAAAAGTATGGTTACTAGAGATGCTGTTGGATTTTCTGTTGAACTTGGCTCTCTTCTTCTTTTTTTTCCATGGCAGGCATATGGAAACGAAAGTAGAAAAGAAGATCTGGCGGAAGTTGGTGGAGACCAAGTTGTAGAGGACCGGGTTGATGGCTGAGCTAACGTAGAAGAGGATGTTGGTCAGCATGTAGAAATAGTGATAGAAGTCGAAAAGGAAGCTGAGAGGAAAGAAAAAAAGGGAAGATATTCTCAGTGGAGTACAAGTGAAAAATACACAAGTGGCCTGCCCTTATTGTAAAATGTAAACGCAGCCCAGTTCCAAGAACCACCAAGAACCCTCTAGCACTGATGAAGTTGCCGAGTTGGGTAATGAAACGGCTGTTCAGAGAGCAGCAAGAACCTCATAGCCCTCCTCCTCCTCCTCCTCCTCCTCCTCCTCCTCCTCCACCTCCTCCTCTCTGCAAATTGCACTCTCTTCTAGCCATAATGGATGATACCAGCAAACATCGGTAAGAAAAACCCCGAGCTCAGAGAGCACCAAAGACTTCACAGTCCTCCTCCTCCTATTCTCTGCAAATCCCACTCCCTTCTAGCACTGATGATGTTACCTAGCTGGGTAATGAAATGTCTGCAGAAAATAGCTGAGCTCAGAGAGCACCAAGAACCTCACAGTCCTCCTCCTCCTCCTCCTCCTCTCCACAAACCTCATTCTCTTCTAGCTCTGATAATGTCTGAGAATAACTTGGGCAATGAAACATCTGTAAGAAAACATCCAAGCTCAGAGAATACCAAGGACTCCACAGATAGATCTTCAAATTGTTCCAGAACTTTAGAAGGCCCATTGCCCACTGCTGTATAATTGAATCAAAAGGATACTCATGGGTTGGGATCGATTATGGTATTTAGGACTCACTAGCAAAAGAGGGAGAAAAGTCTAGACCATTCGCCTGCTCAGAACGATAATAGGAATCAAATTACTTACTCTGACCACTGATTTTCTGAGATGTAGCAATACATAAGCCGCCGCACATGGTACGGAAGCCAGCACACTACAAAGGCAATCACAACAGCACCTGAAATGGAGAGTGAAGGAATAATGAAGTTAGCTACTCATTCTGTAAGGTTAAAAAAAAAAGGCAAAAGTTTCCCTTGACCAATTCTGTCCAACTATAGCTGGCACATGGTTGTTAAGTGAATCTGGCTTCCCCATTGACTTTGCTTGTCAGAAGGAGTGCAAGAAACTGTTTTCAGTGTTGTCGTAACCTCGAATGGTCACTAAACAAACTGTTGTAAGTCGAGGACTACCCGTCATTGCTTTTTCTACCACTGGTGTCATTTTATGACTGAAGGCTACCTGCTCAACGGGAGTTCAACCCATGCCAAGGAGAAAGCAGAAAACAATCGGAAGGCTCCCTGAGGCCTCTGTTGTGAAATGCAGCTGAAATTTTATTTTCCACGGGTGAACAATGCATCACTAATCTTTTAAATCACCCATATGTCAGGAGCAACTGTCTCATTTCAAGGCAGTGAGTCATTGGAACGATTTCTGTAATGGATCAGACTGCTTGGATGCACATATTATTTATTAAGTGTACGATGGGAACATGACAGAAGAGAAGTAAACATATATACACGGCCTATGGAATAGAATGGAATGGAATGGAGTGGAGTGGAGCGAAGTAGACTAGACTAGAGTAGACTTGACTAGACTAGAATAGAATTGGGGATGGGATAGAATAGAATTAATTAGAATAGAAATAGAAATAAATACAAATAGAATAGAATGCAGAATAGAATAGAATAGAATAGAATAGAATAGAATAGAATAGAATAGAATAGAATAGAATAGAATAGAATAGAATAGATCTGGAAGCAGGACTGGGATTCAAAATTTCCAACAACCGGTTCTCTGCCCAGTTGCTGAGTGGGTGTGGCCTACTGGAACTTCCATTTTTCACCTTCCCCAGAGTCCAGGGGCTTCTCTGAGGCCTCTGGGAGGGCAAAAATGGTCTCCCCCAAGCTCCAGAGGCCCTCCCAAAACTGGAAACAGGCCTGTTTCCAGACTTCCAGAACTTCTAGGGGGTGGGCGTTTTCCCCCCTCCTAGAGCCTCCACACGGACCCTGCACTTACCTGCATCCAAAACAGGCCACGTGGAGACTCTTGGGAGGAGTAGGGCAAGGCGGGTGGGGTCAGCCAGTTGGTTCAACTACTGGTTTGGCGAACCAGATATAATTTTAACATCCGGTTCGCCTGAACCGGCCCGAACTGGCTGAATCTCACTCCTGGCTGGAAGGGACCTTGGAGGTCTTCTAGTCCAACCCTCTGCTCAAGCAGGAGACCTGATACCACTTCAGACAATGGCTATCCACTCTCTTCTTAAAAGCCTCCAGTGATGGGATACCCACAACACCTTCTGTAGGCAAGCCATTCTACTGGTTGATTGTTATAATTGTTAGGAAATTTCTTCTTAGTTCTCTGAGTGAAACTTCAATGAGGGTATCGTAGTGGCCTCATAACCGGATATCCAACTCAGCTATCCAGGTGATTACCTCTGGCATTGCTTCGTGGAGATCTTCTAGGGAACTTGAGAACACACGTCACGGGCCATCTTTCACAACGTGTTTAATAGTTTGCACATCAGCACCACAAATTGCAATAAGGGGAATCTTCCCATCTCCTTTATCTTTCTCAAATTCACACACCTCTGTACTTTGACACCTCTTCCTATCTTTTTGTTTTACTGACACAGAATTTATCGGAATGAACTTGCAGCAAAGAAGGTTTAGCTGTGTGGGCTTCCTATGGCTGAGCCTCCATTTCAAAATTTGTTTTTGCTATCAGTGCTCAGATTCATAGTGTTTCCCTGCCTCGACAATTTTGAGATGCATGGGCTTTGCCTGTAGAATTTTTAAGCCATGTAGTGGCCATGCAGAAAAATATAGGTAGTCCTCGACGTATGACCACAATTGAGTCCAACATTTCCACTGCTAAGCAAGGCTATTATTGTTCAGTGAGTTTTGCCCCAAGTGTGGCAAGAAAATTTGTAAAATGGGGCAAAACTCACTTGGCAACAGTCTTGCTTAAAAACGGAAATTTGGGGGTCAATTGTAGTTGCGAGTCAAGGACTATTATTGAGTTTGTCATCTGCACCTCTATAACTGGTTTGGTTCTGCAACCCAGCAAGACAGACACAGACTTAAAAGAGTAATTAGGACTGCAACAAAAACAATTACTACCAACCTGCCTTCAGTCAAGGACCTGTATACTGCACAAGTCAAAAGGAGGGCTGTGAAAATATCTACAGAACCCTCACATCCTGGCCATAAACTGTTTCAACTTCTACCCTCAAAACGACGCTATAGAGGGCTTCCGGTTTGAAGGGCTTCAGCAACAAACAGAAATCCACGATCGTGGAGCACCCCGAGCCAGCTGGTTTCAGGGCTAAGCCACCCCGTAGAGGTGGTGAAGAGGGGGGAGACCACCAGCAGGGTCAAGGAGAGCCGCATCTCTCCTCCTCAGCTGGCCATTACTCCCTTTCCTGAAGGAGGTTGCAGTGGTGGTCAGAAATGGCCACCACAAAGAAGAACTCGACTGAAAAGGAATGTGCAGGAGGAAGATAAGAAGTGAAAGTTTTGGTTGACTGGATTAAATTGTAAAAGCAACAACCAAGGTACCCTGGAATTTAAACTTACAAAAAATAACATCGCTCCCAAAGAAGAGTCGGAAGCAGCGAAGGAAAGTGAAAAGGGAAAGGTTTGGCTTTTTTTTTCTTCTCTCTCCTTCCCTATACTGACAACTAAGAGACTTAAATAAGAAATCGGAAAAATCTGCTTTGGCATCAATAGGCAATTAAGCTGAAAATAAAACAAAATGCCAAAGGGATAATAAAGATTTCTGGACATTAAAAACTTTCTTTTTCATAAGCAGGAAGGGAGAGAAAAAGAATAAGGGCAGGATCTGAAAGAGGGAGAAGACTGCCTGGAATTAAAAATAATCTAAAGTAAAACTTCAACAAGACTTCTAAAAGATACATTTTAACTGAAACTTTGCAACCAAATAGTAACCCCAGGAAGAGAAAGTGAAAAAAAAAGAGCAAAAAAGAAACAGCTTGCGTGTATTTGGATTATTTGGTGATCTTTGGAATTTTAGTTATTATATTTGAATGACTAAAATCAATCCGGTGGTTGTTTAAAAATTTATACAATGGCACCACTTCTGGATGAATTGAAAATGGAACTTAAAAAGTACAAAGAAGATGCACAAGAAGGGAAGGGTTCTTTTGGCTTCGTTTTTCAATTCTTAGAAATGGAGATTTGGAACGATGAGAAACAAGAAGACTGGGACAAAGAAGAAGCCATCTTTAATGAACAAGTAATTCTATGTGGGGAAGAAAAAGGAAAGGGGGTGGGGAAGAGAATGGAGAATTTAAGACTTAAAAAAAACAACCAAAGAAAAGAAAAAACAATTCGAAAAATAAGTATAATACTGGAAAGCAACAGAAAAGGGGAATACAGAAGAGAGAAATAGAGGTAGAGAGACAAGGGGGTAAAAAGGGGAGAGAGAAGAAGAGAGGGAAGAAGGAAAGGAAAAGAAGTTACAAAGGACCGGAGCAAGATATAGAGAAACAGGACCTATTTAGAGATAATGGGTGAAAATCTAACTGAAAAAGGGATTCTGTAAAGGTACATAAGAGTGTATTGTTATATTAGTAATAGAAATAACTTTAGAAATTTGGAAACAATGTATGATTAAAATGAGGGATAAAATAGTTAGTGTAATTTAGTGAAATGTTTGTGAATAAAATAAGTGAAATAAAATAAATGAGAAAATTGAATTAGGAACGGGAACATTTTAATTAGTTAATGTTTTATAAAATATAAGTGAAGAGGGGGGGATTAACTATGGAAAGCTTATAATTGTTCCCATAGAAGTATGATATTTAATTGAAAAGTAATGTTAAAGAAGTTAAGACTTTAATGAATATTAATATTAATGATAGAATTGAATTGGAATGGAATGTTCTTTTAATTATATAAATTTATATTTTTTTTCTTTTTATTAAGAATACAGTGTATATTTTAAGAATGTACCAAACAGAATCCGAATGGAAGTTATGTATTATATTGAATGCTACAACTTTAGGGAAAAGATATAAAGGCGTCATACTCCAATCAGTAACTACAGGAGAAATTTTGTTTAATGAGAAAAGATAATAGATAATTGAAACAGGACAGATAAAAAATATAAATACAATGAATTGAACTGAGATGAGATAATTAAAATAAAATTGAGAAAATTAAAAGAGGGGAGAAGCTATGCAGAAAATGTAAAATAGTAATAAGATATGGAATAGAATATCAAAATGAGCATGAACCTGAATTTGTGTCTCTACAAAGAAATGTAACCCGGGATTATGCTGCTTTTAAAAAAGATGTTTTATTTGTATTTTTTTTCTCTTTGTGAAAACTCAAATAAAATTTACAAAAAAAAAAAAAAATCCACAACGCTATAGAATTATAACATACCTAAACACAACTAGCGCACCTAAACACAACTAGCACACCTAAACACAACTAGACACAAGGATATTTTTTTCCTGAACACCATCACTCTGCTAAAGAAATAATTCTCTCAACACTGTTCAACTAATTACAAAGTCTGCAAAATCTACTATCACTATTAATCTTCTCATCATACCTTTCACCCACCCCCTCCCGCTTATGACTGTATGACTGTAACCTTGTTGCTTCTATCCTTACGATTTATACTGACTGTTTCCTAGTATGATTTGATTGCTTATTGTACCCTATGACTATTATTAAGTGTTCTACCTTATGATTCTTGACTCTTGACAAATGTATCTTTTCTTTTATGTACACTGAGAGCATTTGCACCAAGAGAAATTCCTTGTGTGCCTAATCACACTTGGCCAATAAAGAATTCTATTCTATTCTATTCTATTCTATTCTATTCTATTCTATTCTATTCTATTCTAT